TTAATTTTTTTTTGTCAAAAAAATAGTTTTCTTTGTTGAATGAAATGAAACTGAGACAAAGTTCCATTCTGGGTGTTGTGTTTCCTGAGACAAGCCTGCTTTTTATGTCTGCAGTAGTCTATATGACGTGTCTGTATTTCAAGTGCAGAGTTTCTGTTGTGTTCTTTAATGGGAGGTTACAGTTTAAATTTGATCTGCTACTTTTTCAAGATAATTTCTTTGATATTTCATCTGTCTCTGTTAACAGGACTGTGAAAATGTTTTGCACTTACCTAAAGATGCTCAAGGTGATTTGGATTGCAGGAAACTTGTTGAGCAGCTGAAGGAATGCCCAACGCTGCATGATCAAGCAGATATTTTATATATCTTACATATACTAAAGTGAGTTATCTGAGTATAAACTTCAACATGTTTATAGTTGGTCACAACTATCTGATTATTGCCGTGCCAAAGCTTTCCACTGTTCAGGGTTGTGTTTTGAGAGGTTAAAATATTTTTTTGCTTTAACAGAAATATTTTCAATTTGCTTGATTACCTAAATAATTTGGATATAAAAAACGCTTGTGCAGATTTCAGAGTTGATTGGCACACAACTGCAAGTACATACAGGCTCCAAAGTTCACAAGTGAAGTGCACAAATCCTTTACAGGAATGAATGTACCTTGCTATATTCGTGGCACTCCATTAAGCTCGCAAAGATTTGGTATGTTTTTTTAAACACAAGAAGGAAGTGGAGGTGAAATTAATCTTTTCATTTTCTAACTATAAGGAAAATGAAGTTCTATTGAGTAGTCACTAATTTTCCTTCTCATCCCTCTGCATGCCTAAGTGCATCACTGGCTAAAACTCAGTGCTTTTCAAAACATTCTTGGAAACAGTCTTAACCTGAGCTGCTGGGATTAGTAAACAACTGCCTATTAAATAGATTTGATGGGACCAAAATTGAGTCATCTTCTCAAATGCATTTATTGGGCTTTTTTTTCCTGTGCAGGAGAATACTGCTGGAATCTGGTAGGACATTTGCTTTGGGTGCAAAGACAAGCATGTGTTAATCACAGATGGTCTTCCTTACTGCTAGAGAGATTGTAATTTTTTTTATTTTAGTCTTTCACCTGTGAGGACCTCTTCTTTGATCTTCTTGTTTTCCCAAGCAGAACATGGGAAAGCCTCTCTTAAAGAGCAAAGGAAATCCTGAAAAAATACCATTGTTGTTTAGCTGCGTGTAACACCCATAACTTCCTGTTCTGGACTTGTTTCACTGGGGAGTTTCTGTTGGACAGGCAGATGGGCTTCTGATGGACTCTATTCCTCTAGCAGGAGTTGAAAGGTCGTTCTGTGACACTTCAAAACATTGTCAAGAAGCCATAATGCAGTGAGTTTCAAAACCAGGACAGGAATAGAAATCTCATTTGCTTTTACAGTAATGGCATAAGCAGCATGGAAGCTTAGTTAATAGCTAAGAAAGGGCAAAAAACTGAGGCTAAGAAAGAGGCTAAGAAAGAGGCAGGGCAAAAGCCCTGAGGCTTCTGAAAAATGGGTGCAGTTTTCAGCAGATCTGAAGACATTGCTGAATTCTACTCTGAAGATCACCACAGGGAGCGTTCCTCTAGCAAACTATCTGCGTGCACGTTCAATTTAAAGCCTAGTGGGAAATCCCTTGGGTAGTTGCTTTGAAGTCACAGGCTCATGGCTAAGTGAGTGCTCAAGTTAACACGAAAGTTCCCGGTATAGAGAGGTTTTGTCTGCATATAACCAGTCTCTGGTGAAAGCCTACCTATCCAGAATGAGCAATTTGATCCAAATCAGGCTGCTCGTTGTGTGGTGAGGTTAAGCAGCGTAGTGTTTTATCTGGTGAAAATTACCTTCTGTCTCTTTTCTGGCAGAGGTGCTGACTGGGACACAAAGCTGGATGGACAGCACGGTGTCACCGTTCATTGCCTACTCAATGAGCTCTACAGAAAGGCAGGCCTCAATCAAGAGTGGGGCTTGATCCGTTATATTTCTGGTATACTCAGAAAGAGAGTGGAAGTCCTGGCTGAGGTATGAAATATAAATAATGCTAGTTCACTTTCCTGCCTGGAAGTAAGAGATAAAACTACCAGTTTGCCAGTGGGACTTGTGCTTCCCGCCTCCTGGTTTTGCTTCACGTGTAAACATTGGTTGCTTTTCTGATCTAAAATCTTATTATGGCATCTTTACCTTTCATTAGCACACTCTGCTAATGTTTGCATGGACTGAGAATGTCACACTGTAAATGATTGCAAAGGCTTCACTTATCTCTGTTAATCAGAGAAGCTTAATTATGTGCTTTGAAAGCTGTAGTTGTCACTGCTAATTGTCTATTGCTATTGCGATAGCAGGAACGCTTTTGGAACACCAGTATGTCATGGTGCTAGAAATGACACTAAAACATGACCTGGCGATGCCCGTCCCGTTGGGCACAGTCTGCCGTGTGAGCGTATGTGGATGTGCAGAGGCATTATTGTATCTGAGACTATTAAATGGTAATATGAAGGATCCACTGTGAGGGTACAGATTTGATTTTGAACATTACAAAAATCTTTCCTCTCAAATACTGTAAAGTATTTGTTTAATTTCCTACTTATGCCTGCATATTTCTGTAGAGCCCTTTCTCTAATTCCTGGCCATTTTCAAAGCTTTGACTGTCACTCCATGGATGCCCTATTTTAACGGCAGTCATATATGTGGAGAGCAATTTGTAATAACTGCCCTACACGGTACTTTATTCAGCCCAGCCTTTTCCATCCTCAAGACATGATGGACAAGCAGTACAGACATGCTCACAGAAAGCTATTTTAAATTGCAATATAGACACTGACAACGAATTTGGGAGGAAAAGAGTAGAAATGATCTGATTTTGTTCCACATTAAGGGAGGGAAAGTAGACTCTTCAAAATCAGAGGAGCATTGCTCTGTGAGGTGTTTGATTCAGGATGCTAATACAGGTAAACTAAATACCCACTTTTGAATAAGGTCAATATAAATGAGTAAAACACTGGAGGAAGCACCAATTTCAGAACGTGTCAGAGTGGCTAATTCAGGAATGTGATGCAATATGTTCTGTGTTGTTTTTTGTTTAAAGAGCTATATTTATTTAAGATGTATTTTTTAAGAGATATATTAGTACACCAAGTTTTTAATTGATTCAAAATGGTTTTTGTCTTGAATAAAGAACAAACGTTTATCTTATGTTAAAGTCCTTTATTGATCTGTCTGCCTTACTGGAGTCCCTAATCGTTATGTTGCTGATGTCACAGAACAGGGAAGCAGGCTTTTGGCCTGGGCCGACTCTTGTAGCCCTGTTGACCTCAAGGGATCTTTGGCAAATAGTTAACAGTGTTCTGCTGAATCTGTGTCTGGTAATTCATAGAAATGCACTTAAAAATTGCTAAAGAAATGCTTTGGTTTGGGCAATTAAAAGCTGTATCACTTCCACACGACTCAGAGAAAGGTCTTCTGCTTTCTGTCACATTATGATAGGCATGTACAGACCTTCTGTCGCATCACAAGCAACTTACAGTGGGCCTGCCACCAGAACCCCGCGAGAAAATCATTACCACGTAAGTTGAAGCTCTGCCTCAGTTACAGAAGCAGCCTGCCCTTCAGCTTCCTGCTGGTACCGTTCTGCTGCTATCATCTGGTTTTAAAACTTATTCTTCACCTTCAGAAGGAATTGCAGCCACCCAGGCAGAACCATAGGCATCTTTGCAGTGCAAAGATGTTTCTGGGTGACTTGGTTCCAGTGCTTGTTCAAAAGGTTAATAGCAGGTGCCCGAGTCACTGCTGACTTTGGTTTGCCTTCTTGCAGCCCACTGCCACCTGAGGAGCTCGCAGATCTTATTTATGAAGCGAGCGGCCAAGACATCAGTATTGCAGTCCTGACACAGGTATGCAGCATGTGTACAAAGAGTTCTTCCAGCTGTGCCCAGTGTGGCACCAGTGCCTGCTCTGTGACTGGGGGAGCCACGATGACATACTCTGAAAGGGTGCCCTTATGGATTTGTCCTTACAGGAAATAATTATGTACTTGGCGATGTATGTCCGGTCACAGCCTAGTCTTTTTGTGGAGATGCTCAGGCTCCGTATTGGTCTGATCATTCAGGTGATGGCCACTGAGCTGGCTCGGAGTCTGAAATGCTCAGGTAAGAGCAATTCTGTCATAAGGCGTTATTTCTGCTTCGCCTCAGTCGTTGATTCTTTTCATTGTTCTCATGTGTTAAATTCTTTTATTAACTTCTTAATTCGTCATGCACAGTTACAAACTTTGAAAATAGCTTCTCTTTTCAACTTAATGAAAGATTCCTGCCCTCTCGCCTCTGTTTCCTAGTTATTCAAACTGAAGTGGATATTAAATATTTAAGTCCCCTGACTCTCAGTAAGTGTTTGAAGTCCAAGTCATCAAATTCCACATGTGTGTGTTTTTAGGGACCCAATGTCAATGAGAATTAGGGCCCTATGTATCTTCTGAATATTTGAACCTTAATTCACAGTTCTGGTAGTTTTTATTCAAAGTGAATAATTCTTCCTTTTATGCATAAACCTTCTCCCCTGGAATGTGCTTAGTTGAAAAATATTTGCTGTTTAGCTTTCAGCTGTAGTATGTTGTTTTGCCAGGAGAAAGATGTTACATATAAATAAAATACATACAATAAAACAAGAATTAATTAGCAAACAAGTGGTGCAAGGTGAAAATATTTTAAAACTTCGTTTTGGAACAGAAAAGTGAAACCAGAGAGGAATCATGACTGAAGAGAGATCTGAAAAATCATTGAAGAATTTTCCACATCAGTGTAATTTAAAGGGGTCAGAAATCTAAGAAGGAGCAATCATGAAAAGTAGTGAAGTTAATGTCACAAATATATAGTCAAATGCTGACACTTAGGTGCATGATCTGGGCCATGTTTTTGCGGCTTTGCTCTTGTTGCCGTTTCTAATGCTCTAGCACACCCTAAATGGGATAACTTTGTGGAAGTGTATTTTCTGGTCCCCCGGGTTTTCTACCTCCTGGAGTGAAGTGGGAGTCCCTGGTAGTTGGTTAGATGGAGCCCACCTTGGATGCTGGTGCTCTCTGACTGACATGAGTGGCTGCCACTGGGGAGTGGCAGGTTTCTACCTCAGGAGAAGCTGACAAAAGAAGACAATTTTCTGGGACAATTCTGTTTCTGTATGAAGAGTGCAGAGAAAGCCCAGTTTCCCCCAAAGCTGTAGCTGAATAGTGGAAGCTGCTTTATTCACAGTGCAAAGCCTCTCTTTCCTGAGGTCCCTTTTGTTATTCCTTAGTCTTAAACACAAGCTGCTTTGTACTCTGCCCTCAGCTTCATGGCTGCCTTTTCCATGTTTTCCTATGGGAGATTTGTCTGAGGACACACACGTGCTCATGTGTATGTACGTGCTTTCTCTCTCTCTCACTTACAAGTATGATCCTTTAATTGAATAAAACACGAGCCTTCCACATGCATGCATTTCTTTGTGGAGTAACTCTGGCTCTGTAATTTAGATCTGCATGTCATCTGCTGTTGGGAGATGACTGTAACACCTTTCCAAGCGATCTTGCTCTACAAAGGAGAAAGCAACTGCTTTCTCATCATCAGCTTCAGTGAGATTTCACACAAGGTGCAGCATACTATTTACTAATGCAAGTAGCGTTATTTCCATGCAGTGTTCTTGGCATGTTTATTGTTAAGTCTTGAAATGTATTTTCTTTGAAATATGACTCTACATGTTAATTTTTTTTAAAGGAAGTGCTAGCCTCCAGGGAATGTGACTGAGCTTCAGTCAGTCAGCAGTTCACTTAGGAAAACAACCATAAAGCAACCTATAGTGATTTTTGTCTTTGTCTTTGTTTTTGTTTTGTTTTAACTCTGTGAAGAAGCTTCAGAGAGTTTGATGAATCTAAGTCCCTTTGATATGAAAAATCTCCTACACCATATTCTCAGTGGAAAAGAGTTTGGTGTGGAAAGAAGCTGTAAGTTGTCCACTTGGGTACTTGTAAGTAAGTGAGGACTGTAAATACAAAATTAGACTGAGGCACATTGCAACTCTGATGTCTTTTGAAGCTATGATTGCTCAGTGTTTTGGAAAATGTGGTCTCAATATCCAAGTATGGATCTAGGCCCCTGACTTGATCCATTCAGGTTTGAGCTATTGACGTGATTTGAAAGTATGCTGTCGCCAAGAGCATTGTACGCTTGTGAAAGGATATAATTGTATCTTTAACTTGCAGATAGAATTTCATCTGTTTTTCTACCCCCTAGAATTTTAAAAATGTCCATTTGCTTCTTTTAGTACGACCTGTAGATTCCTCTTCATCTAGCCCTGCAATTTCTATTCATGAAATGGGGAATTCTGGAGCAACCAAAACAGAAAGAAGTGGTATTACTAAATTGAAGAGTGAGATGAAGCAGGTGAGGGTTTTCTGTCAATGCTCATAGAAAATGCAGCTATTCTGGTACTGTGTTATGTTAGATTTTTGTGTGTTGATTTTAGGAGACCATTTTTAATGCCACATAGGTTCTTGGTAAATGATAGAAGTTTCCAAAGATCATTGATTTAAAGCTGATCACTAAACAGCAGTAAAGGGGTGTTTCCTCCAAAAATATACTTCCTTTTTTATTCTTGTTTCACATGCTGAATATAGAATAACTTGAACAAACTCTAATGCATTCATGGCATCAACTTTAAAACAGCTCTTTAATCATCTTTAGCTAAGGAAAGGTCAGATGTACAAAGTGAAGTTTTCACACAAACAATGTTGGTTATTATACTCAGCACAGGTTGCTAATGTGATCCACATGCCTTTTGGAAAAGAAATCTTAGTTTGTTTTTTTTTCCTGTTTTGTTTCTTCAGGAATGGAGGATGATTACTCCTAGGATATAGATATATTTAAGTTTAATATATTAAAGTACACAGAAACTGAGCATATGGAGAGATATCAGAGCAAATACCTCCAAAATATTCTGAATAAATGTGACTGATGATTTTATTATGAGTGTTTTTAATTTCTCTTTTTTATTGTTTCTATTAGTAATTTTCTTTTGCTCTAGATAAATAGGAAGGTAATGATGAAGTAAGATATATTTATAAGAATTAATAGCTTCATATTGTTCAGTGTGGGTTGTTCAACCTGGAAGAGAGAAGGCTCCAGGGAGACCTTATTGTGGCCTTTCAGTATACAAAGGGGGCCTACAGGTAAGGTGGAGAGAGACTTTTTGCCAAGGCCTGCCATGACAAGACAAGGGGCAGTGGATTTAAAGTGAAGAAGGGTAGGCTTGGATTGGACATAAGGAAGACATTTTTTACGATGAGGGTGGTGAGCCACTGGAACAGGTTACTCAGAGAAGTTGTGGATGCCCCATCCCTGGAATTGTTCAAGGTGTGGCTGGACTGGGCTTTGAGCAGCCTGGTCTAGTGAAAGATGTCCCTGTCCATGGCAGGGGTTTGGACTAGATGATCTGTAAATATCCCTTTCAACACAAACCATGCTGTGATTCTCTATTAGAAGCGTATTTTAAAAAGACCCTTTTCTGAAATCTTATCAAACCTGATTCATTTAATCTGAGGCCATTTCTATAAGTTCCTGAGGAAGATTGTAGAAACAGATTTGCCCGATAAGCCTTCAGAAAGGGGTGGCATGTCTGCATGGTCTTGATATGGAGCGTTTGATGGTGACAATGAAGATCCGTTAATGACCCTCCGTGGGACACAACAAGGCAGAGAAGCAAAGGCACCTGTGAAATGTGCGCTGTCTGTCTCACAAAACCTGGTTGCCATGTTTGAGCCATGCTGCTCACAGTCGTGGCCAAGCCTCGTGGTACGGCTGGGGCTGTGAAGGTGTTGCAAGCTGCTTTCCACCAGCCCTGAAGTGACTTTGGGGGTTCAGTCTGAGCAGGGCTTGCAGTCCTAAGGCGGGTGCCCGATTTCAGGGCCTTTCCAGGAAGGAAGAGGGGACCAGGCACTAGGTGGCAGCAGTTATTTTGTTTTAAACGCAGGTGGGCTTGAGCTCAAACACTTTGAGGTTGGAAAGGTGTTTCCTGCATTGCTTTTGCTTTCGTTAAAAACCTGGTATTTGGCACAGAGGAGGAGTTGGCTGTTTATATTTTTGTTCTCTCCATTTTCCCACTCATGCTGCTTCCTGCCATGCCTCACTGCATTTTCTGAATAGTTCACTAGATACTGTTTTAATGTCAGTTTGAGGGAGGGGAATCAACATCCTGTTATAAGAAATGTTTCAGGTACTTGCATTAACATCTCTTTGCACCTGAGGTCAGGTCCTGAGCGACTGCAGCTGCCTTGTTTGCTGCTGTTGTTTCTTAAGTTTGAACATCAAGCCTTTGGGTCTGAGCTGTTAACACTTAATTAGGAGGTGTGGCTTGGGGTGGACACTTACAGAAAAGTGCTGTAAGTCTGGGGTGCTGCATCCACATTTCAGCAAAAAATTTGCCTTGCAGCTCTTTGTTTAGCGCTGCCCACCCAGTTGGCAGCCCACAGACTTTCTGCAGCAAGATGACCTTCTTCTGCAAAGAGAAGCTGATGACGTTGCAACAAATGCGGAATGGAAGTGGGGAGCTTGGGGTTTTTTCCCAGCCCTGTGTCACAGGGAAGCTTTTGCATGCATCTTAAACCGTGGAGGTTTGTGTTGGCCGTGCTTGGAGCTCAGTGGATGGCGTGGGCAGGTTGTGGCTGCACCGCAGCCAAGCAGGCTCCCGGCATGGTGGGGTCTGCCTCGTGGTGACCTTGGGAATCGGCAGCAGCTGCCCCAAGTCAGCTGAAGTGCAGCACTGCAAGAAGCCAGGCACTGTCGCAGTTTTCCCATGAGTACCTGACCTTATTCCATGTTTCTTGTCTTTACGTGGACAGTTTGCTTTAACCTGTTCTGTCATGGCTGTCTGTCTGACGTGTTGGTGTCTGTTTTTGTTTTGTAGTTCTTTCATGAGAGCCACTCCATGTCCAGCAGCATGTTCACTTCCACGGTAAAACACCGTCTGCAGCCCTGCACCTGCCCTTCATTCACCCTGTGTCTGTGTGTGCAAGGGTCCTAGCTCTAGACACCTCCTGTGACTGCTCCTGTGTAAAAACTTGCTTTCAAACCCTACCTCCTTGTCTTACTCATCTTCATTGGGAACCAATTCTCATTAATAATCTTTTAATAGAAGTTGAGTCTCACATTTAGATCCACTTAGTTCTTCTGAAGCTTAAGCAGTTGTAGCAGATAAAGCACTACAGCAGATTTAGCTACTTGATGGTGGATTATGTTACAGGTGTCATCGGTATTTAAAAGTAATGTAGCATTGACAAATGCTGGCAGTCTCTGGACACTAATGAACCCAGAATAGCTTCAGGTTGCTGAGACAGGGGTTTTGTGGGCATGGGTATCATCTTGTTTCAAGGCAGAGAACGATGGCTCTTCTTAAGCTCTCGCTGTTAAGAAGGAAAATAATTGTTTAAGTATTTTATCGACAGAGACCTCAACAATTTAAAGTAAGTCTGAGGCTCCAAATCCATCATGAAGACACAAAGCTTGCAACTACATGTGCACTTTGAACTGGAGGTTGTGATTCCTGGTTCTTGGCATCTGCAGACCTGCTGTTGATGGCACACCTCTCAGTGTCCTAAACGCACAGCTGCAGAGCACCACTAGCCCTGTGGCCTGGTCTGACAGCTGCCACATTGCTGTTGCCTCTCTCTTCCCGCGTACCAGTGCAGAGAGGCAGGCTTCGACTGTGTGTTTAATTCAAGTGCACAGAATTGTTCCAGGAGCTCTTTGCTTCGCTGAACCACCTGAGTAGCCAGATGAGTTACTGTATGCGGATGGATTTCTCTACGTTGGCACTGACCGTCTGCTGATCTCCTGCATCCTCTAGCTCTGCTCAACAGGGTGGAGGAAGTTCTGTCTCTGTCAGTATGCAGCAGAGAGGAACAGCAAGCATCAAAAGATCAAGGGAACACCACCTATGCCTCACTGACACCAGCAGTAGTGGAAATGGACTGCTGTCATTTGCTGGTCCTTTTGCAGGGCTTGGCTATGTAGAATCAATGAGCCTACCCTTTGCAAACATACAATTTTTAGTCTTGTTTTCCTCCTTCCCCAGTACTTTCCTCAGGCAGTTTCTTACTCAGAGATGATGGGATTTGAGATGGGGCTGTCAGTGATGTCCTTTCTGGGCTGAAAGTAACATTGTGCAAAAAAGAATGAGAAAACATTCTGAGTCTCTGAGAGTGCAAAGAGTAGGCAGGCTGCATGTGTGCAAATGGGAACAAGAATTTGGTGGTAGTGCCACAACTTTGAAAATTATTTGCTGCCTAATTTAGTCTTCAAGTCTGTAGAGTAAAATAATAGAGCAATAGTGACTATAAAGGAAGCAAGACTGATACTTAAAGAGACAGGCATGACCACTGGACATCAATTTTTAATCTACTTACATTAATAGAGCTTTTTGCATGGAGGACCTCTCTTGCAGGACTCATGGACCCTTTGGTTCTCTTACAACACTGAGCCCGAAGCCCGAGTGAGTCAGACCTACCTGCAAATCCCACCATCTTGCACACCAGTGACACTGCCCTGGCAGCCAGCTCATGCTTGTCAGAATAGTCAGGCCTTGTGTTGAACCAAGCAGTGAAGTTTACTGGGTTACCCCTTGTTGAACTGCTTGCCTGTTTTGTTGAGAAATGATTGAAGTACTGAATAAGGGAAGCTTCTTGTGAAGGGAAGAGAAAGGGATCAGTCGTGCTCCATCATCTTGTGTGACTTCATGGCCCGTATTTTTTCCCTGTTTCTGAGGTAGCATTGTAACAGAATGAGGTATTCACCAGGAGCAGCACTTGGGGTGCTAGAAAGCAACTAACCAAGGCTTTAATGTTTCTTACAGCGGGGCAGTACTCCATCGTCTCCCACTAGTACTTCTCCTACTGCCTCCAGTGGAGAGACGAGCTGGGGTGACCGAAAAGGGCAGTGGCTGCGCAGAAGGAGGCTTGACGGTGCTATTAACAGAGTTCCTGTTGGCTTTTATGAGAAAGTGTGGAAAATCCTTCAGAAGGTAAGATGACAGCTGTGGAGGGCAGGAAGCAAGAGCCTTTCGTAGGAGCGTCTCCCTTGAACATGAAAGGGCTCCAGTAACACAAGCTGATGTGTTTGGCTGAAAGTGTATTTGTCTATGAAACTGATGAATTTCAGTTGAATTTCTATGAAACTGATGAATTGTGCGCTGAATTTCAGCCGCACAGTTCTGCTCCACCATGGTCTGTTCTTCATGGCCCATGGGGTAGTGCAGGATGCGGTCAGTGCCGCTTCGGGGCACTGCAACGCAGCGCAGTTCGTGGGCTCCAGTTCAGAAAGGCTGCGAGGAGTGAAGTAGGGAACTGCACTGACTCTTCCAAAATGTCTTGAGATGTCTTGCTGACTCTTCTGAGATCTACGGCATTCTTAGTGTTTCTTTGTTTGTTTTTAAGTGAAAAGTAAGAGATTAAGGTTAAAGGGATAAAAGTAAGTGAAAAGTTGGAGATCAGGGGTATGGACATGTGTTGAAGCAGCTCTCCAGCAAGGCGTGGGGAATTATGAGTTCTTATTAATTTCAAAGTGATCATGCACCTGTTCTTCCACTTGGCTGGGCGAGCGCCAGCGTTCGACACCTTGAGGTACTGAGCTGTTCGTGCCTACACAGTTGGGGAAGAATGTGCGTCACCAGCTCAGGTTGATTTTGGTTGTCCTTCTAAAATCACTTACGCTGAAGCCGTTAGCGTTGATGTCAGCCAAGATGAGTCATATATGACCTCGTAGCTATTCACTAATGGCCTCTTTCAGTAGAGCGAGCATCAATTCTGTCCTGACCTAACGTAATAACTGGGAGTATTGGAATGTTTTTCTGGCTATTAAAATCAATTGTGCTTATTTAAGTTGTCTGTTCAATATTTCATTCTTAAACTCTCTTTGGACTGTTTGTAAAAGCTGTCGTCTTGGTGCTTTTTTGTATGCCAGGCACCCAGGTGCATCGTTCCTTTGCTGTTCTTCTCACCGTTTAGGTTTTGTCACTCTTCTGTTGTATACCACTTGGTGTTTCTAACACCACCTCTCTCTCCCCCAGTGTTGGGGGCCCATGTCCAAGCACCACATCTTGACACCCTTGAGTTGTGGTGCCCTGGATCTGAAACACTTAACTAAATGTTGTTTTAGCAAAAATGAAAAATAGAAGTCCTCGCTTTAGTAGTCTGTTCTCATGCTTTTACATTATCTTTTATTTCTACGTTCTTTCCCACAGAATGTTCCTACTGATTTGTTTTCCTCCTTTGTGTTCCTCTTGCTGTAGTGGCTCTCTGAGTACTTTCCTCCCCTTCAGTAGCTGGACTGGAACACAGCACGCTCTCTATGTGTCATGTCAGGCTATTTCTAATGTTTGCTAGGTTACATAATAACTTCTGCAGCAAAGATGAGATAGTATTTTTAACAAGTTTCGTTATTGTTTTGGGGGGTTTTGTGGGTTTTTGTGTTTGGGTTTGTGTTTGTTGGTTTTTGGGTGTTTTTTAACTGAGGATTGATACACGTTGGCTGGTATCAGAGAACTCTGATTTGCTTGCAAGAACTGTAATTTCTGTTCACTGCCACAATGTTGTTGTTTCAGTGCCATGGTCTGTCCATTGATGGGTATGTCCTTCCTTCTTCAACCACCAGAGAGGTACAGTAAAACGCCGAAGATTTTCGAGCCCCATGACTGAATGTTTGGTTTGATAGTGTAAGATGCAGCAGGGCTGTTGTTGCAGATCCTTGGTTTTAAGAAGGTTAGATGGTCTGGACCTTCTCTCCAGCACTTCTGCCAGCATCCTTGGGGCTGTGCGGATGAGTTCCTGGGAGCAGGCTTGTGACAGGTTTTCCCTTTGCCAAATCTGCCCTCCGCATGCCTTCACTGACCCTGTGCGCCCGCAGAGCAGTGCCTGAAAGAGGGTGGCTGATGGCAGTCCTTTGGGCAGGGTGAGAAGAAGGTGCAGCCTTGTTGGAATAAAGCAGACACATTGCTTGCCACTTGATTTTTTTTAATATGCTACAGCAGCAGCCAGTGTATTTTGGCATCACAGTCTCAAAAGTAAATACCAATTAAGGATGATTGTTTCTAACCAAAGCTTTGACTCTTTAAATCCATAACTTTTCCATAATTTTTTTTTCCTTAGTTGGATTGCCGGTCTGTCTTTAGGTATTCTGGCAACTTTTGAATTCACATCTATAAAACCAACTCTTGTGAACAGTAATCCATCAGCGCAAGAGAGGTGCTTGTGTGCCTGAGACTGTTTTCCTGTCCGGATCCCTCATATTTGTCTCTGGTTTCCTTTTCTTCTGAGGGATGATGGTAACAGCTGAAGAGAGGAGCTGGAATTTCCTGCCAAATTTAAACCTTTTTTTTTTTTTCAGAATGGAGAGCTTTATTTATTCCTATTGTGTAGATAAATAGGCTTATATTTTTAGCCTGTCAGACCTAGACAGTATCTAATTTTGCTGTTTAAAGGAATCAAACGAAATAAGCACAAACCTCCTAAGGCAGCAGCCTTTCACATGACATCCATCCAGCTACGCCAGCGCAAATTAAGCTGCTCTGCAAACAATATAGCTGTATCTCTGGGTGGAAAAGCATTCACTCTAAGCAGGTGGTTATTTTTAAAACTCAACAGTAATTTTGGCTTTGCAACTAACCTGTGGTGCCAGAAAGATGCAAGGCAGAGTGCGTGAGACCTCGGCATGAGGACCAAAGAGTTAATTTGCCAGCTCAGCATCAGCAGTCCTGTGTGGAACTAAAAAGAGTGTGTGATGGGTTGCAGGGCTGGAGCAGTCTTCTGGAAGTTGCATAACTGTTTGCAGGATCAGGGCCTAGCAACACAAAAAGTTTCTGTAAGTGCTAAAGCTGCACAAACATTTTGTTCACGTCAGTCAGTCTACCCCCGTGTGCAGAGCAGAGCATATGTTTAAGTGCCTGGAGGATGTGGGCAACTAGTCTTTCGGATATGTCAGTTTTTCTTTCTGATTTCCACTCAAACTTGCCAGATGACCCCGTGTGAAATCAAGTTTGCTGTGCACGTGGAGTCAGTGCTGAACCACGTACCCCAGCCGGAGTACAGGCAGCTCTTGGTGGAAGCTATTCTCGTTCTCACGTTCCTCTCTGATGTCGAGGTGAACAGCATCGGGGGCATCGTCCACGTGGATCGAATCGTGCACATGGCCAATGACCTGTTTCTGCAGGAACTGGTGAGCTCAGAGGGTAGTGGTGGGAAGCCTCCGCATTTGAAAATTGTCCCCTGCTCCTTTTTTAATATGTGTGATGAGCTTGTTTTTGTTTTTTTTCTCCTTATGCATTCCCCTGCAAAGGCAGACCAAATCTCTTAAGTGTCCTCTGCAGATATATTTGGAAAACGAATTTAAGAGTTGTGGGAGATTTAAAGGGGATAAAATTATAGTATCTAACAAGCTCTGAAACAAGTGGGTAGGCTGAAGTTTTGCTTCACTAAAGCGTTAGAATTACCATATTTGAGTAACCCCACCTGCACTCCCCACAAAGAGCAAAATCTGGGAAGTTTCGTGTTCCTCATTTACTTACAGTGATCCAACTAATTAATGTGGGTCCTGTAATAATCCTGTAATTTCATGAGCTTTCAGTATTTCACACAAATGCAAAATCATCATGTGGCAGGTTTTTTCCGATAAATAAGCATGCATCCCTAACTTGTCCTACTTCTTTGCTTGTGTCTTTCCAGAAAGCGTTCGGAGCTACCGGTAGTATCTTGGAGAAGGACGTAGCCACAGGAATTTGCCACTTTTTTTATGACAGTGCTCCAAGTGGGGCCTATGGCACCATGACCTACCTAACAAAAGCCATAATTATTTATTTACATGATTTCCTGCCTAGCACAGGCTGTGCCATGCAATAAGCAAATGGCCTCATGCGGGAGGGAAGGCTCAGAGGCTCCTTCTCCCTGTTTTCCTTTCATGAACCTCTCGTGTAGCAGCTGCATGCGTGTGTGCCATGCGCTACCTCAGCCTTTCACACTAGTTGTCATGCCACGTGCACGGCTACCTGTGGGGGACAGGTAGGTGGGATTTGGCCAGGTTTTAAGGGAGCATGTGAGAAATAACAAATAACGAGGCTTATTCTGCCCAAAGTGCATAAATGTAATTTGTATTAAATTGGCAAGAATGATACAGTTCTGCCAAGGGGAAAACGGATTACTCTCTGGAGATCAGAAGGCATAATAAAACGAGGGAGTTGTATCTCAGGCATAAAGTCTCCCAAATAAGGGACATGATGGAATTCATCAGTTTTTCTCCTGCTGTGTGTAAACGTAAATCATTGTGAATCACTAATGCGCAGTGTGAAACATCCAGGGAAATGTAAATTAAAGGAGTAGGAATAACTTGAAATAACCAGGTGATATTTCTAACGCACCTTTATCCTGATGTTCATCTCATTTGCACCTAGTCAGTGCAGGGCTAACACCACTAGAGAGAAATGTTTTGCAATATCCACTAATTTGAGATGATAGCCTCTCTCAGGAAGCTGCATCTCTCCTTAATCCGAACAAAATAGCTTCTTTCCCTGTATCCCCGAGGCTTTGGAGGCAAAATCTCAAGACTCCAGCTTCTCCAAGGTGGCAGGCAGTTTTATGCCTGTGATCTCTTCCTCTGAATGGAGCAAGATAAACCTCTTCCACTCAAGCACCCTTTCCAAGTCTCCCAATCCTTTCCCTTGCAAATAGCCTCAGAGGTAAGAATGGCATAATTGCCACCCTTCTGGCGCAGCGTGAGTTTACGGAAGGCTTTGATGTTTCTTTTTTTTTTTTTTTAATTGCACTTGTCACGTGTAGTTAGGGGTGGGCTGCCTGGAAGTCTGCCTTCACCCAGGTCAGTGCCTGTGCCTTAAATGTCTCCACTGGAAACCAGTTTCTGCGGCGGCTCCACACTGCTGTAGGGAGAATAGCTGTGTCCTGCAGGGAGATGGCTCCGTGGCTATTTAAACCGAATACAGAGGTAGGCTGCCTCTGGCGTGGGGAAAATCCCGCTTTACCCCAGGTGTCCGCTGCAGTTTTCCTTGTGCCAGCACTGCTGGTTTTGCCACCAGCCAGCACAAATCTGGCTGACGGCTCAAGAAGGTGGCTGTAGTGTCAGGCTCTCAAGCCACAGGCAGCTCCCTCAGCAGCACGGGGATGTGCCAGCACTGCCGCCGTGGGAGCGGAGAGGATCAGAGCAGTACTGCCTTGCCCAGGTAGAGGGGATAAGAGCAGGTATGGCCTGTAAAAAGTAGGAATTTTCTGTGCTAGTAAGCCTGATAAGCATATTTCTGTGAGACCCCCCTCCACTCTTTCAAAACATAACTATGCCATTTTTACAGTATTTGAAAATTCAGGTGTGGGTTTTTTTGGTAACAATAGTACGTGGTGCTTTTGAGAATGAGGTTTTTTGTTCCAGTTGTATACAGATGCCTGAAATACCTTGATGAAAGGAGGGAAGTAAAGCCCTGTCCCACTTGCCAGTCACCAGCACCCGTGGTCGCGGGGAGGCTAAGCTCCCGATGGCAGTGCCACTCCACCTGCCGTCCCTCTACAGGGCTGCTGCTGCTGCTGTAACGTCTGGATGCTGGCTCGAGACCGAAGCTGTGGGAGGCGATTTCATGTTTTTGCAAAGACCAGGAGAGTTTGGTGGTCCAAGGGCTCCTCAGACTGGATGCTCTGAGAGAGGCACGTACAGTATTAACCACCGTGAAAACTGTGGGCCTGTTGTGGGGCTAGTATAAAGGTACGGTTCAGGTGCAATTAGCGCTTTGATGTAGAAGTCATTTTATTGGCCTGGTGCCTGTTTTGCAGAGTTCTGCCTTCATTATGGTGGTGGTTGTGTGTGGTTTTTTTCCTTTTCATACATATTGTGAGAGATCACTTAGCGTGTTTCCTGGTAAATGAGAGTAAAATCCTTTGTCTAGTTTAAGCTGACAGATGTGACAGTGCTGAGCGTGAGCAAACAAGAGCCTGAGTGATGGTTTCTTGTTCCATCCAGCTTCATCCGAAAAGTCGTTAGTAGCAGTTACTTTTGCTTTTGTTGTTGAAGCTTAGGTTGTGAGAGGTGCAAGATGATTTTCCCTCAGGCTCTTAATTTATTTAATTTTTTTTTTTACCTGCAGTGTGAGCTTGTTTTCAGAAAGAAGAAGGGTGCTGTAGTTGGTTTTACCTGCAGCTGCATTGAAGTCTAAAGCAATTGAGCCCATGGCCAAACACACCTCGACACCCCTTAACGCTCTTTTTTTAATGGGGGTATCACTTGTATCTTTGATTTGAAATTCATAGTCTGACCTAGGTTCTGGTGTATTCCCGATGTCATGATCAATTATCACATGGAATGCAGGCACTTGGAAAGTATTTTTGTGGTAATTCAAAGAGTTTGGGTAGCTGGTGGTGAAGGGTGGGATTCTGAAAGGCAAGGCCGATGGAAAGGAAACTCATGTTACCTCCAGGCTGGGCACGGCTGCAGCTTGCCCCTGCGTTACTGCTCAGACCGAAGAACCGTTCTCACTGGTGAGCTGCATTGTAGTGCAAACCTGATTAAGCAAATTAGGTTTTATAGAGACCACCCTGCTTTGCTGAGGACCCACCTGCGTGTGTGCTAAGCTGTTGCAAAGCAGAGCCGGCATGGGCCGTGGTGAGGGTGTGCTGCCAGTTAAAGTACGTGACAACTTTGCAGTTCGTGCGGGGCTGAGCTGTTGGCAGAGGCTCACCTTGGCTGTCAGCCTTCCCAGGGGAGACAGCAGAGGGTGACACGGCCAACGCCAAGTCCCTGGAAACTCATTTATGGAAAGAAGGCAAAGGTGAACAGGCACATCCTGTGCCTCAGAAATAAAGGCATTAATGAATAAAATAGACTGACTTGAGACCTGGTCCTTCCAGTCTGACGGGCACTGCTGCCCTACGCACTTTGCAGCTGTGGGGAGAAGCACCTGCGCAGCTGTGGGGGGAGCCAGGCATCCCTGCGGACGGAAACGGGGCTGGTCACAGGCACTGGCCGGAATAATCAGCTGTGTCCAGCTCAGAGCACATACCGCGTGCTGGACCCATTCCGGCTCCCCCAGGCCAGCGCCCTCCCTGCTCACAGCTGCATGGCTCTTTCCTTCTCCCTGCTGCCGTGCAAGGGACACGAGTTGTCGAACTAGACAGATCAAAAGCGGCATTAATCGCCCTCGGCTTCTGCTCCTACAAGTGGATGGGAAAACTTAATTGTTGGGATGCAGAATTTGTCTGGCTTCTGTCGTGCTAGTTGTGAAAAAAAAGTAGCCCTGCTTGTTCCTGGGAGACAAAGGTGAGCTGTGCAGTCCCTAGCAGCCCTAAAGAGGGGTGCTCACTTTCCATGGCGGGTTGGGAAGCACCTGGGCTGCACCCTGTGGGCACGGGGCACTGCAGGACTGTGTCACCCCTCCAGCAGCAGCCAAGGGTGTGAGTGACATGGGAGCATGGGTCAGGCCAGGCCCAATGTTGGGCACTTTCTGATGTGAGCCGGAGGTCGGAGCAGAGTCATCCAGAAAGTGGGAGAAAGAGAGGTGCTGCCAGCGGTGCCATCTGTACTTGGAGGGCAAGAGCTTGGGTGCTCGGCTGCAGGCTGATTCAGTCCCTGCTCAAAGGACCACTCACAGCTGTAATATTAGAGTAGCCACTGCACAAAATTGTGGAATAAAAATAAGTTTGGGGATGGGAGTTATGGAAGAAGAGGATCAGCTCGAACAGTTTGGATTTAAGTACAAGTAGCCAGGCTCTTTCTCAGTCCCAGTTTTAGTCTGGAGTGACTTTTATTCCTGGCATTAGACGTTTCACAGTTACTCCCCCCTGCCACCCCCGTTTCTTCTGTTGGGGGTAAGGGGCTCTTGTGTGCCGCTAGCAGCTGACGGGCAGGCGTTCTTCTTTTTCGGCTCGATGACTCAGTCCTCTCACACTTCTGCACTGCATCCCTGAGAGCCTCTTCTTGCCGCCTGCTGAGGGAGGCACTGCATTGCACCTTTACCTTTACACCTCTGCTCAGGAAGTGATCCCTCAAGGTGAGCATCCTTCAGCTTCATGCTAGGGTAGCTTCAGGAGCATGGCAGTAGAGGGGGACACTGAAGCTGGAGGCTGTCAGCCATGTTTCTGAGCTCCCACGTCTTGCTGCACACCCTAGTTTTGTTCCCTCTTCTGGAGGGGTGGTGGTGGCAGAAGAGGACTTCAGAACCGCACTGTCCCATTCTATCTTGTTGCTTCACGCCCACAGCACGTAAAACGGCAGGAGGAAGCGAGATCCCCACATACACAGTGGTGTTCATCCATCTTAGGTGGAACCTTTTTGTCACCCCACCGGAATGAGGTGGGACTGATCCTCACAGTCCATAGATCAGTCAGTGCATGCTAAACACAGACATTGGCTATTACCAACGCCATTAAAATTTTGCTGTAAATTTTGTTTGCACTATGAAAGATTTTCTTTCCCCTTCCCCTAGGCAATACAGATAAGTGTGTGCATGTTTATTCATAAATCTGTCAAATCACAAAATACTTCTGAAAAAGGGGTTTGTATTTAATTGTAGAAAATAAGATGTAAGAAATACCACAGTACCTTAAGCTTGGGCTGCTGTTACATTCTGTGATGATAAACTGGGAATGATTTTTTGTTGTTGTTGTTGTTTTGGTACTTTCAACGCTGTTATTAAATAAAAATGAGCTACTTTACTTAGCTTATCTTTCACTATTAAAATTTAAAGACAGGCTGGGCTGGAACCTTTTCCTACCCAAAAAGCACTTTGTGCACACTGTATTTACTAAGGCTGAATTAGGCAATACCGTTTTCAAAAAGCTCCTGACGTGGCTGAGCGCTTCGCTTTATGTCAGTGTGTTGCTTTCAGAGTGTAACGTGCAAGAGAATTAGGTCCACCTCTCCCTGCTTGCCCCCACAGGAGCGGGTGAGGCGGTACTTGCAGGAGTGGGAATGTTGGCTTGCAGTTTGGGGTTTGGCAGGGAGGCACTGGACTCTTCCATCTTGCTGTCTTCCAAAAACTCGGTTTCAAAATTTCTCAGTTGCTAAAGAATTCATGCTTAACTATATGCAAGAATACTTAGGGTTGCTAAAGTCGTCCAGTTAATCTTCAGGAAAAGCATGTTGTACTCTATGTGTAGGATACCAAAATACAGGCAAAAAGATGCCACACTTACACATGACTGTGAAAGCTAAAGCTTTATTTTGTGATCTCTCGTATGTTACATTCACATGCCATGGCTTTAGCATGAAGGTGATGAGTTACGACTGTTCATTAGCTCCAAACCCCAACAAATGTCGGGAAAAGTAACCAGTGGCAAGAGAAAATCTAGTGCAAGTGTAAATGCCTTTCAGTTGCAATCCTTTAAGCTGTGTCTGTAAACTTCACAGAGGATAGATGGCGACCTGGAATGTTTTAATTCCATTGCATCGTGCAAAGAGTAAGCTTAAATGCAGAAGTACCTCTTTTAACTAGATGGTTGTTCTTCTCTATTTTCTCTCCCGGGTTGGGCAGTCCCCAGCAGGCCTCTGTCCTGCCTGTTCTAGCCCCAGGGAGGGTCTGATATGTTCCTCGTGGCCCTCAGTGGTACGTCTCAGCTGTCGCTAAGACCTGCTGAAAGAAACGTACCCAAGTTTCTCCTCCCCCAGGGTTGTAGGTGCCACCTTGGCAGTGTTCACACACAGATTAGATTGATGGGGGGGATGCCACCATGGTAAGGTACTGATGCAGCAGTGACGCAGTCGTGCTATAAGCAGTGGGGTTTCATCTCTTCTGCCTCAGTGCTAGCAGGTACGTATCATCCAGACGGGACTAAATAAAGGCTTACGCAGTGACGCAATGCTGACGCAATGCTTACCATATCAAGCAGCCCATTTGCTGTTTGTCAGTCTAGAAGTCGGTTTCCCAGACTGCTTGTGACTAATGCCAGGAAGGTCAGCTTCCAAGACAGCCCACAAGAACTTCTGCCTTTTCATGAGTTTGTCTTTTTCTCTAGCCTACGAACCACGTGAAAGGCCTCTAAAAATTCATTGAAGTCAATATGGCCATCTCTGTTGTAGTCTATGCTGAGGACCAACTTGTCAAAGGATTCATCAGGTACATCAATGCCCAGGTGAGAAGTGAAGAGTTTCCACATCTGGCCAAACTCCTCGAGGGAAATCAGACCTAAAGGAGACAGGCAGCAGAGCGCTTTTTTCAGTGCTGTTGCCCCTTCCTGCGTACACACACATGCACAGTGCATGCACACCCCTTCGCTGCAAGGAAGTTACCTGCCTGCTGTGGCTTGAGTGTGTTTTGGGATTTTGCAACTGAAGCACATTTTTACTTCAGGTGATGATCTAATGGCATCAACGGTGGAATTGAGAAAGCAGTAAAACGGCGAGAGTGGAAGGGAGAAAAAGCCCCCCAAAAGAGTGAAGCCAGCACTGGAGATGGGCTGTGTGAGAATTTTTCCTCAAGTTAGGCTCTGTGCACTGTCCCTTATATATGGTTGCAGCCCGACTGCTAAAATTAGTCTTCACTAAACTGGAAAATGACATCACCTCTGGTTCCTCTCTATTTAAAATCCTTAAAGAGGAAACAGAGTGAGGGGAGGTAACTAGTGTAGTCTTCCTAGAGCTGGTACAGTGAAGTTACCTGGACTTACCTGAGTGATCTTTGTCAATGATGTTAAAGATGATCTCCAGATCCTTTCTGTATCTGCACAGTGTTTCTGCCAAAGCTGGCTGAACCTGAGTTTGAAATCCCATACAGGAAACCAGTCAGACCTTGGTTTGAGTTAGTCTAACCAGCAAAATACATACTATCCAAATCTATGTTCCCAGTTTAACTTCTCAAATGTTTAAAAAAAAAATTAAATCCTTAGGCAGGTTCCCTGGAATGATACTTTTTGCGTTGTCCTGAGGAATGATCAGCTAAAACCTGTCACTTTCAGATGGTGGGGCAGGGAGGGAAGGAGCCCTTCACACCTCCTACCTTCAGTAATTATTTGTGGAAATACAGATAATCTAGGGAAGAGGCTGTATGCCATGCGCTCGTACAAAACTTTCACTTTACATATGTGCATGGCTCCTTCTGCTTAGAAAAGTGATGGAGGCAGCTAAGTACCGAAGTCCTGTGCAGCCACTCGCTAACAACTGGACCCTGTAGAAGAGACCTCGGCTACCATTAAACATCTGAAAGTCCATCTACAAATGAGCCGCTCCTACAGGTGCCTGAATTGGCTCTGGAGCACATTTGAAAAGCTCATCTCAAAGAGCGAGGGTTGAGTGCTCTGGGTAGGATTTGCCGCATCTCCTCAGCTACGTTATCTAAACGCCCTTGACAGTCAACAGAAAGTAAGAAGCAGTTCTAGCATGTGATTCATCCAACCTATTTTAAGCACCTACCTTAGCAGGGAGTGATGATTCGTGCCCTAGCAGCGCTCATTTTCCTCCCGTGACTATAAAAGGAAGCTCAGCAACTAGTTCAGCTGTAGATGTCTACCTCATTGGCCAAACCACTGTCTTATGCCTCAAGTTGCACCAAAAGCTGTTCCTCCAAGATTTGCAAGGAGGCGTTTTCCTCCTTACCTCTTTTATAGGTTGACCTATTTTCAGATCATAAAAACACGACATGAAGTCAACTTCTCCATCTGGGTTCATCTGTGCTAACTGAGACCGCAGCATCCTCCAGGGCAGCTCCAGCTGTAGGACCGACTCCATTGCTGCAGCCCAGTCGTTGACAGAAATCGTGCCTGCCGGAAGGGGTCAGTTCATGGTTACAAGCGGTACATGACACAGCACACATTGGTCACCAGCGTGCCTTCTGCTGTTTTTAAGAACAGTTGCAAAACATAAACATTTTCTCCTAACCCTGGGATGAAAACCCTCATAACAATATGCAGTGGGGTTGGACTAGACATTTCCACAGGTCCCTTCCAACCTTAACAACTTCCTGGTGCTAGGATGATGTTCAGCACCTTTTAATGCATTTTGAGAAAACCAGATTATGCAATGAAGAGTACTTCAGATTTGAGCTGAGCTGCAACTAGAGAGACCTATGTCACTAAAACCCAACAAGACAGAAATATGTTAAACAGTTGTTCAGTGGCCAAAGTAACAGTATGATCCCTTATTGATTGCCCTTTTAGGGGCACCAATGATAACCCAGTGAAGTGAGAAGCCATCATGAGGAGAAATTGTATTTGTGCTAGAAATCACTAACTCCTTGCTCTTGCATAAAAGGTTCATGTGTCAACTTACCACTGACTTCTTCAGCTGATGACTGAGCGTGTGTCTCCTAGTGGCGTAGCCAGTCAATGTTACTCATGTATCTCCCAGACTCAGGAGGAGACCAGTTCGCCCTCACCTGAGACCACAATTCCCTGTCTGACAGCTAAAGACACTCCTAAGTGAAGGTGGTGACCTTGGGCTTCTGGAGCTGGATTTGCCTGCCCAAACTCTCTGCCCAACAACAAACACCTCCTTATCTGACCATGTGTTTCAATTGTTTTCTTCTACCTACTTAAAGCTTCATCCTCTCAAGTTGTTTTCTGGGGCTAAGCGCTTGCTAACACTTATCCTCCTCTCTGGTCAGGAAGAACATAAGATCAACCAGCCTCTGCTGTCCTCCGGCCTTACACTGGCAGGCAGGACTCCTCTCTGTGGAGTTTTTCCCCTCCACCCTCCCCCGCCACACACACACAGAAGGTGTTTTCCCCATAGTGGCAACTGGACAGAGAGGTAGTGTTACCTGTGCCGTTGAGGTCATACTGTGCAAAAGCACTAGTGAGTTCAGACCTGTGAGCATAAATCTTCTCTCGTAAAGACTTCAAGGCAGATGATTCAATCGTACCCACCCTAGGAGGAAAAAAATGCAGAGCAGATCATAACAAGATTTACATCCTTTAGCACTTTATGGTTTTCAACATTCATTATCAAATTCTTATATCCTTTAACAAGTTGTATGTTTAGGGTCACCTAAAGACAACACTGGGGCGGGGGGAAACAAAAACCAACAAAACAAAGCCCCATAAGAATAATCTGAATTTATGAGATAATCGAGTTTATGCAGGTAATTCTAAGCCGCTTTGCTTTAGTAAATCTGACCACAGTGCCAGACATGGCGAAGCTGTCATGATAAACTTTTTGGACTCAATTCGTAACAGGATTTGTCCAGATTAATGCTCCAGCCTTAAAGCAGACCTGACAAGACAGGCACAGGCCCTTTAGGAGTCCCTGGCAATTGTCTGTTCCAACCGCTTACCACATCTAATTACCTTTGGGAGTTTCTCAGGAAACCAAGTTACAGTACTTAGAACATGTTTTGTGCACTGTATTCATTTTTAAATTGTAAAACAGGAAAACAAGGAAGACTAAGGAAAACAGGTGCCTGTTCAATTATTCAATCAAACTATAGATCTGTGGTAGGTACTCACATGGCGAGCGAGTACACGCTCACCGCATACAACACAGCTTTACCTCTCCCGAAGATTCTGCCTGCGTGTGTCCTTGCTGACGCGATACTGTACAAACCGAGGAATCAGTTCAGGATTCAGTTTGATGTATGCTCCCCGGTTGCTCCCCTCTTCGTAATAGTTAGAGGCAGAAAATATAGTTATAACCTGAACACAGGGAACAAAGAAACTGGATTGGCCGAACAACTCTTCTTGAGACTGATTTCTGAAACTGGTCTGAGGAAAACATGCAGGTTATGAAATGAAGTGTCTGCTCATAAAACCAGAGGTCAACAGCTGTGTTGTTCACCAAATCGCTTGCACTTCTCGAGGCAGAGCTCCAGGCCTGTATTTTTGGTCTGTCACAGGAAGACTTCAGAGGGCAGTGTGATAGAACATACTGCTAAACAGGAACCCCCTGCTAAGACAGACCTGGTTTTCAGGACTCTCTCTGGCCTTCTGATACAGCAGGGCCGGAAGAGAAATGATGAAGTTAAAAGGCTTCTAGAGCCTTAGAGCATCTCTTGCACTGTATTTACACGTAACTCTCCTCAGGGATATATTGATATTTATTTGTTTTCACATGAGTAATAAGCCAGTCCCCACTCCCTGAAGCTGTAAAGAATTTTGTTTGTCAGAACTCCGTAATTCATTCTGACATCTATCTAGCACACAGTTCCCTCAAACCCACTTTAAAGAAGTCACTCTTTTTTTAAAATTAGCTTTGCAGACAAAGCTACTTTGCATGTGCCTGTGAAATTCCCAAAAGAATTCTGCTTTACATGGAAGCGTCTTACCTTCCCATCATGACTGATCTCATAACCTTCCCGCTTAAATTCATGAGACCTGATGAGCATCTTCAGATTATACCTTTCAAACAGCTTGGCTGTGACATCTGGGCCAAAGCAACAACCTCCTCCGCGACGCTTGTTTGGTGTACACCCATTTTGGCTTCTTGGATCACTCCAGAGAATGTCAAGGATCTGTAAACAGCAAACTCAAGCAAGTGAGGACTGGTAGTAGGTGAGGACTGACAGGCTGTGGCTGTCTAAAGTACTGGCCATGGCAAAAGCTCCACAGTACAGGGAGAAAACACACCTGAGCTAACAAGTAGGTCTTGTGTTTTCTTCCTTCCTTCTAGCTGGGCATTCTTTTGGGCTGAAGCTTTTCTACTTTTCTTAAGAAACATGATCTAAATATTGGATGAACTTTTTCAGATGAAATACTGTTTCAGAAATGTACCTCCTTTTACAGCTGAAGTTTCCAGACTCGGGTAGGTGCGTTAGGAATGGCACCTGGGCTATTTCAAAGAGAGCAATAGCTGCCGCCTTTGGCTGTAGGCGTGAGTGGTGGTTTCTGTTTCCCAGCACAGACCTGACAGATAACCACACGGGCTGGTGGTTTTACCTGAGCTAAGCTTGGGAGTGCCTGCTCTAAACACGACAAGAGTTGCCTTCGACTGTATTGTCTTGGGCTAGCTCGTGTTTCAAAACAAGATACTACAGACATGAGGATGAATTATCATGGATTAAAGTCACCTAACCTAATAACTCTAGTCAGTAGCAATCATTAGACAAAATGTGTTTGTTTAAACCTCACTGGACAAGGTTCCCACGAACACATTCCACGTCATGTTTGTAAGTGTGGCTCAGCGGAGGCTTGGTTAGCTGGGGGAGTGTCAGATTTGAGGGGCTGCTTGTACCCGTTACATTAGTTTGTAGGTCAGGTGTCTCTTGGGAAATCACATTTTCAGAGACAGATTTGCTTCTCAAGAAGCAAAACAAAAGTGTGTGCCCCTTGAAGCAGCTGTCTGAAGAGAAGCTCAGAAAAATAAACTTATACACATCTCAATTTTAAGCTTCTAAATTGCTGTGTAAATTAAACCTTTTCAAATTGTCACAATTCATTAAATTACAGCATGACAAGAGCTCCACATTGCCTCTAATATTCAAGAAGAAATGAACAGCCAGAGGACAAAAAATTCCCACTCTTGAGTAATCAGCCTGTAGGTCTCAGGAGCTGGATGTTTTTGGACAGTATCAGCATTCAGCTGCCAAAATCACAGCCAAAAAAAGGTGTTCACTATCGCCGACGACAGCAAAGTCTGACCTATTTAAACTGACAACCACGTATGTGCCAACAGCTCCGACCACACGAGGGCACGCAAACACATCTCATACCGAGCGGCTTCCTCCTCCTAACGGCTCAAAAACCAAAACACCAGGTAAATTGTGCGGTATAAAATCACAAGTCTTTATTATTACCAAAAAGGACCCAAATAACTAATGGCTGGCTAGTATACTCCCAAGAATGATGGGTTTCTTACTAAGAGACAGTCCCCTCAGACCCAAACATACTGCCTGAACAGAGCGACCACCGGCGTTGTGCAGGGGGGGCTCGGTATCAGCCTGTCTTTGGTTTCACCTACTTGTTTCCATTCCTTCAGGGCGGGGTCTGGAGGCAAATTTGAGCCTGAAGGCTCAGTGGAACCCGATGAAGCGATGTGTTGTGTTTTCCCTGCAACATTCTGGTTGGCACTGTGTTTACTGGGTCTGGTTGTGGGAACTCTCTCCTTCACTTGGTCCTGTCTGTCTCTCACTGACGTCGGTGGCCGCATCAAAGATTTCAACTTGAGAAAAAAATAAAATTGAAAGAGTTACCAGAACATAAAGATGATACAGAGATGTCAGCTGAAAGGCACATCAGTTCCATTTCCGGTACTCAGTACTGAACTCCCATAATGTCCTGAACTCACTGGTTTGGTAGAAGCTGCAGGTGTTGGGCACTTGCAGAAATTTTGCTTTGTATCTATCAGTGGCCAGCCTCTTCAGAGCTGCTCTCGTATTCTTATCAAGACACACAAAGTGATTCCAAGCCACAGTCAACCACAAGCTCTCACTATACAGCAAGGTTGGTCTGGGCTTGGCATTTAAGTGCCCAGCTTCACTGGAGACTGGAAATATACGTGTATACTGTATTGAAGATGAAACAGCATTTCGTACTGCTCTGATAGAGTAGCATGCTGCTAGGTTAATTTCTCTAAAATAAATGGAATATCAGGAGGATAACAGTGACATTTTTGAAGTATTACATCAAGCCCTTTTATTGTTAAATCAGCCTCCTCCAATATACATAGGCATTTGCTTTTTTGGAGCTGTGTGCTATGGCTCCACGAATGCCCATTAATACAGACTCTTCTCCAGGGAGTATCTTTTCTTTTCATTTGAATTTTTCTCATACTAGCTCATTTTTTGAAAAAAAAGGAAACAACAAAAAAATACCACCAAAAACCAACAGCACCCACCCCACCGCCACCGCCTAAATTCAATTCTTTAACAAAGAAAAGGACCGATGCAAAACAAAATGCACACCACTGGGTTATTCGCCAGTGCACTGACCAGTAATTGAGACATGTCAGTTGCCAGCTGTACCAATTAAAATACATCAGTTGGCCTTGAGCGATATTGCCCCGAGTTGTGGCCCACACGTCTCATTAGCAACGCTCTCCTGGGGCAGCAACTTTGACCTGTTAATTCTGCATTTCACAGACGCTGCATCAGTAGCACGCTGAGCCCAGCCTTGGTGACAGCGTGGGCAGAACTCAGCTCACAGTTAGGACACCTACATCTGTAGTTAGGCACTCAGTTTTGGTGTACAGTGGGACAGCCAACAGAGCCTAGACTCCGATGACCAGAAGCATTCATTGCCCTTTTTCTTATCTTTAAGGAACAGAGATACACCTAACTGTCTGGTAAAGCATTTATTTCTGTATTAGAAAACATGAGTATGAGAGAAATTCCACAGACATTGATGAGAAGCTACACAAGGTTGCTTAAACACAGGTATCTTGTGCCATCTGGGATGTTCTACCGTGTCTGTGCATTAGTGTGAGGTGGGCAGATATGAACCAGATGTAAAGGAGACCTGCAAAGAAGACTTTCGCAGATGCCAGAGGGGACATCCCTCCGCTACAGGATGCTTCCACAAACAGCACTGGAGGCCTATGTCTGAGCAATTACAAGATCTGGATCTCCACAAGATCTGCTGGATCTTCATTGATTATAAGGAATCTAAGCACCCTGCTCACAAGTAGACATCTCAATTTAATTGTCCAAATCCCACACCATTTTCCAGTGATTTGAAAGAGCTGTGTTTGCTCACCATTCCATAAAATAAATTCAAAAAAAGATGTTTCTATAGTTTAAATCCGTGAAAAGTAGTAGTTTCTGTCTTCTCAAGACCAGGTGCTGAAGTTTGATCCTGCTGGAAAGGCTCTCCCACATGCGCAAAGCTCAGCTGCTGCCAAAGGAGTGCCTCACAGGTGAACTTCCCCCACACAACAGATGGCAGAACTACAGCCCCAGGACAAAACGCAGAGCTAAAAAGACGTGGCTAGATTGATTTCCAAAGTGTTTAGAAATGCCTGAGAATTAAGTACTTTTCATACTTTCTGGCTAATGCGTCATCACTGTGGGGAAAGGAGGTATCTGAAGTGTTTTTAGCTATTTTAAGGTCAAAAGACCCATGTTATTTTACAGCAGCCAACAATTGGCTCCCAACACCTACTGAAACCTTCCTTCCTAAACACTGATTCAGAAGAAAAACAAGTCTCTTTTTTTCCTTATGTGCCTTAAACAGCAGCCATTTCCTTTCTTAATACAAACAACTTGATGTTAGCATTTCTACTGCTAAATTTTTAAAGAAAACAAAATCACCCCCACACGAACATGATCTCTTACCTTATTTCTCTCAAGTGCATTCAGGAAATCCAAATCTGTGGTGTCTGAAATCCCTCCGTGTAGGATAAGAACTTTGCTATCAATTATAGTGGCGAGGGGAAGCCAGCTAAAGACATCTCGCAGAAGACACAAAATCTGTTTCCCATGGTCCTGTAAAACATACTCTACATTAGATCCTATTGCCGGGACATTCCGTTGCTTCTAAGTTTGCGATTTTGCTGGTGTCTGCCACAGTTTGTACGAACAGCTCCATCCAGGTGACACCGTGAACTGCAACACTGACAAACGTTCTGACATTTACTTTAGAGCCATTTCATTGTCCCTATAGCATTTTGTTTTTCTTTCATGCTCACCTCTTTTTTTACTCTTGAATGGCCTGATGAACATTACTTATTTCATCCCATAGATCTCTGAACATAAAAGGCTAACACTTAAAATTGTTTTGCCAGTTATCCACTGAAAAACCAAAATAATTTAAATTACATTACTAAAGTCATTCTGTACTACACCTAAATAAACTGGTTGGAAGTTTCTTTGTTTACACAGGTTTCATTTCACATTTGCAAGACTACAAAGAAATTATAGGGGAAGAAGGAGGAATCTTACCCTGTACTTCTTTGAAACTTCTTTTGTGAAGCCGTATCTGAAAATAGGACAACATCATGGTTTTCAGAATGCGCCCTCTATATGATTTTATATAGTGTTTGCCAGAAGTTTTCTATCCCTCTTTTTCTCCTGCCATTCTGTCTCACCTCCAATTAAATGTGCTTTCTTCTGCTCTGTCTCAAGAATTGAGTTAAACTGATTTCTTGTACATACAAGACATCAAGAACAGAATCTAGACCAATAATTACTAAATAGACTTTTTCCCATCTAAATGAAACAGCTTAACAGTTTTACCTCTTAGATAACGGAAAGACATTTCAAAGGAACCTAACTAACCTAAAATTCCCGCAAAACCTCCACAGAGTTTTTCTGAGTTCTAAATCATTCAATTTTATTAGACAGTGTGGTCTATCATGTCTTTTCCCTGACAAGGCACAAGGATTTTGATACCTCATTCTTTAAACACCAAGATATCCTTGGTGCAAGCGGCATTTTCACAACACACTAACTCTCAGCCTCCAAATTTGCCGATGTGCAGCATTGCTAATCAAAACGCCCTGCGAAGAGCCGTACACAGGAATGCATCTTTGCACTCTGTACCATCACAGACAGCTAATATTTTCCACTATTTTGGGTGGGAATTTTCCTACCTTGTTGATAAAGTAACCTATCTTGTTTTATGCCTTTTTTTTTTTTTTTAATGAAGGGCTGGAAAAGGAAGTATCGTGTGACACTGATTCTCTTACACGGATCATTAATAGGATTTGAACCTGGGCCTCTAACCCAGGTTCATGCCTGGGCTAAAGATTAATACATTCTGTGTGCACACATCAAATGATAGCAGGGGTACAACAGGTTACCCACCAGTCAGTCACCAAAAGACTTACTGGGGTGGCTGAGAACCGCAGGGACCAGGACTGAGGAGTTCTCATGTTTGTGAGATGTTTTTTCCTACAAGTCACACTTTCACTACAGCCAGAGACACTGGCTGCACTCATTCTCTTGGCAGTGCTGGACAGCTGAGTACAAATATATGTATTAGAGAACAAGGTCTCAGCTGCTTGTGCAATGGGGTAGACTGGGACCTCCATGGTGCAGAAACCGGCATATTTACCCACCCTTTGTGTTTGGGAAGTGACATCTTAGTTTGAAGTTAAGCGAAATACCAGCTCCTGGTTTACTGGTTCCATTATATTGCATACTATTACATCTTTCACTATACTGTGGAAAAAGCCAATGTTTTAACTAAAATATAATCCTTCCATCTGTTCCCTTTCCTCAAATTTAGTACTCTGTTAGCCGCACTAAGCCCATTGACCTCAACGGGTTGTGATTAGGTCAGAGACAAGACATGACTCCCATTCAAGTGCCTGTGTGCAATGTGGATGTTCTTTTCCCCCGTCACACAGCTGGAAGATGCAGAGCCCCACCTGAATACCTAATAAAACATTATTTCTGTTTTAGAGTGTGACAGCGGCTAAAGTAGCATTCAAAAGCTCCAACATTTCTAGTGAAAGGCCAGATAGTCCCTCCCCCCACCCTCCTAAAACCTACCTCAGGTTCATGATGTAGTCTTCATGGTTTCCTCTATTCAAGTGTAAATCATTGGGGTAGATAAGAAGAAATGCAAACAGGATTATAAGTATTTCCATAGAATTTTTCCCTCTGTCAACAAAATCACCGTTAAAGACATAACGGTTTTGTTCTGAAGGCAGACCATTCTGCAGAAGGAAGCAAAACCAAGGACATTTAGAGACTCTTTTATGCTACTGTAATAAAGGAAACAGCATTTCAAATGAGAACACATTGCTAGAAAATGTGAAAAAAACCCTGCACAATATAGAGATCTAAAATGCAGCATTTCTTTATTTCCACCACTTAGAGCAAAAATCGCTGTATCAGACAACCAGTATGAGCCATCAGAGAAAAGATGACCTCTCTGGCTGTTCTTATGATGCCACCACTAATCCTTTCCTCTACCTATTAAATTAAATTGAAAGGGACTGATAGGAACATTATTCTTCTAATAAAATATACTTTTCCATTAATGCAACTGCTGCCAGAAAGTTATGCACTTGCAAATAAGAAGGAGTCATTCATTTTGAATGGAAGACAAGAAATCCATGAAAAATGATCTTCTGACACAAGTCTGAAAATTCTTAGGTTTCCTTACACAGTAAGAAAATGGATTTCCTGTACTTACATTTTTTGCAGTGAATGCTTCTAAAACTTCTGAGAAAGACTGCAGTTCTGAGGACATCAAATCTTAATACAGAACTCTGAAGAACCTAAATTCCAGTTGCTTTAATCCTGAAAGCACTACCTGAATTTTACTCACATTGCACTTTGCCCCTGCCCAGGGCAAAGATATACTTGAATGCTCACAAACCTGAGAGCCTATACATACAGGTATTTCTTACCTTATTTTTTCCGAAGATATAGAGCAATGCTTTATTATGAAAGGCGACTTACCAAAAGCTAGTATTGTGAACTGATGGTGTGTTTCATTAGATTAGTTATCAACATGTTAATGGGTATCATCAGCTTACAGAAACTACAGCAGCAATTATGTGTAGCTTCATCATTTCCAATCATAAGCAATATCATTTCAATTTTGACTTGCCAGAAAAAGGAAACCTCTGTTTTCACAATCAGCATGCACAGGAATTACGAAATAATAATCACACTACGACTGTGGAACTCACTCTTAACAGGTTTGGCAGCATTGCAAGATACCCAACTTCCCAAATATAGCTATTGCATCAGTCCCCCGCACTTCCTATGTTCCTATGGTGTACTGCCTTAGTAGGTTTTTTGCAGGATGCACGATTTGGACAAAGACTCAATTAAACATTTAATCTGAATGCATTAGGAAATCTCCTTTTTGTCCCAATCAGTGTTTCATGCTGTTATGTCAGGATGCAGTAGTGAATCCTCGTCTCTCGATTCCTGACTGATGTAAATACAGCTTGCTTGATTTTTGCCATAGCCTCTCCCCAGCTCTCTCCAAATTAATTTAGAAGAGGCATGTGGTTGCTCTATGCTCACCAGAGTGGTAATTTATGAGACTTTGCTAATGCAGTGGGTTGTAGTGGTTTTAAAAAAGAAGGATGGATTTCAGGAGTGGAACAGACAGGAGAGACTCAGCAGCAGCTCCTGGAAAGATGAATTAATAGAAGCTTTGCCTTAAAACTGATCAGCATGTGAATCACCAGCAGACTGTCAGTATACACACAGCTGTTCTGTAACTGCAGTCCTCATGGAAAGACAGATCTACTGAAGCACTCTCCAAACTCCACCATTCTTCTTTTGGAAATGCTTACCCACAACTCTTAGTTTTAAATGAGAGTTTGTTTTGGACTTCCAACTTCAATGACGTTTTAGTTTTGTTCCACACTCATGCAGAAGTTTTTATTGCCTTTTCTGTCATTTCGACCAACAGCAAGAGCAAAACTAAATTAAAGGTTGTTGCAGCCTCCGACACGTCAAAGAGGCGAACGAGGCCCTCTAATGATTAGCAACTCGCTGCTAGGCATCATTACTGTATCTGCTGGGTTAGTGATTAATTAACTTCCGTTTGTCGTTTGCATTTTCTACAGCTTCAGGCTATTTCTATCCATAGCATTCATTTAACAATCTAACCTAGCAATACATAATTTAAAATTCAAGGGTTTCAAGGAATTTCAGGAAATGCTGTAATTTAACGGAGATTAATGCAGGGACTGAATGAACTTTACAAACTAGCTATTGAGAAAGAAGTAATTATCTTAGCCTCACCCAAACCAGCTTTAAGAACTAGACGCACTATTACAACCAGCACTGTATTGATAAGCTGTAGATTACCAGCTCCTGTGTGTTTGCTGCTGGCAGTTTGTAGAAGTGATGTGATGAAAGTTCCCTGGACAAAGCTCTGTGCTCAAGGCACCCAGTCTGCATGCAGGCCTCCTAAGTGCTTCAGCAGTCACTTCAGCTCTGCACAGCGCTGCGCAGACCTGACATCACTACACGCTTCATGGCATTGTTTAGGATTGTACCCTCTTGTTTAAGGTTATGGGTGGTTCATACCAACTTGGATGAAGAAATCCCTTCCCAAACAGAGGCAGAAAAAACAATGGATCCCAGCGGCTGACTGGGTTCGCTGCTCAGCTGAATAAACTGCTCAGAGGGGACAGAAAACACTGCGTCATTTAATTTGCTTCTAAATAACTAAGCAGCTCTATCATGTGCTCTCTATTTTCTCGACCACTTTGAAATGACAAGGTATTTGCCCACTTCACTTGATTTGGTGGAAGGACTCCCCTATAAGCTTAACAGAGAATGACTCAGGGTAAACTCTAGTGCCTGAAGTCAGTGGGAGTTTTGGCTCTGAAATTACTGAAGTCACGATTTAGTTCTTGCTTAGTTTTTTGTTTTTCTCTTTGTAACATCCATCAGAGAGGGGATAAGAATCATCATCTGTTTACTCTAAACGAGTAAAATTCAGGCTGATTGCAATTGTAAATAAAACTATATCTAAGCGTTTATCTTGAAAACAGTTCTTTTTCCCTATTCTAGGTCCTGTGTATGAAACCAATTGTATCATACCCTTATTTCAGTTTCAAAAAGGAGGACTGTCTAATTAAAATAACAGCTAAAAGACGGCAAGCCAAGGATCAGCTAAACATAATTGACTGATTAATAAAAGCAGAACTCTGTAAAAAGGTCTGATTATACTTCAACAGGCATCAGGTATGCACTTGGGCAAAACAACCAAGTTTCCATTCAACAAGTGTCAGATAAAGTGTAACAAAGTTGGAAGCAGGAGGGAATTACGTCATTTAAACACCTGGTTTAGATCACTTCAGCCTCCATTCAGTGCAGATGAATGTGTAAGGATCAGACACAAAAAGAAAGTTCAAATCAAAGAGAGTATCTGCTAAATGAAAGGTGGTGATTCATGCTAAAGATAAATGTGAAACTAAATATAGGAAATTTCTTGCATCTTCAGTTAAATATACAATTGTGGGAAAGATAGTCTGGAGCTTAATTTTTTTTCACATCAATAAAACAGAGCTATGCTTTCTTAACATTAAAAAGTGAGCAGTTGTTCAAGGATATATAAAGGGTGGCCAAGGTACTTCCATTTTGTGCAGACTACGTGATAGCTTCCAAGACTTAAAAAGCTTTTAAACAGATAGACTCTTTTTTGTTTCCTGTAAACAAATAATAATAAAAACTACTTTGCAGATATCAATGGAAGGCCTAAATGAAAGCTTCTGCATGTATTCTGGAGGGACAAAATTATCCATGGTGTAACATCCATCCTGTTACATCAGGAACTAAGTTATCCCCTGATTTTAGAAGACTTAAGTCAATATGGAATATGAAACAGTAGCAGGACTTTGGAGACATTGCGAGGAACCCTTTCAAGTTTTGGTTCATGCTCCAGTTCAACATTTAGGAAAAGAAAGATCTCCTGGATCTCCTCCTTCACAATGAGCAGGAGGATATGGAGAAGGAAAAGCTACACAAAGACACCATCCAAACTGTTTCAGGATTTGTGTGTCTGGCTCATGCACACCGCATGTACAGTTCTAACAGTGATAAATCTATCAGACGTGAATATATGTCTTAACAACAAGTCATGAAGTGAAAGTATTACATCACAGACTGCCTACTTACCTTATAGAATATCAGCAGAAGATCATCTAGGTTTCCATGCAAATCTCCTACAAAAAACCCAAAAACATTATTTTCTTCTTTTTTTTTTAATTTTCTGACAGAGGAGGGAAAAACTGGAATTATAAAACTGGAATTAGTTAGTCCTAACAGGTTTGTCCCCATGTTTTCCTTAGTAATTTGCCTTGTATTAGGATTAGCTTCATTTTAAGGTACATGCTGAAGCTGCCAGTAAAATCTGGTAATTAAATACTTAAAGGAGTACACAATTGTCTTGCATAAAGTTTTTGTCTTTCCAGTCGGATCTGAAGATCAGACCAGTCACAGCCAAAAGTTCACTCAGGGAAATGGGAGTAAGATGAATAAACATATTATGAACCTGAAAAACAGAAAATGTCACTAAAGACATTTAGAAATATGATAGACTTCCACACACTAACAGGTTTAAATTTACTAAGTAGCCCACTATACACAGCACAATTGAACATCTGTCTGATTCGGGCAGGGTTTTGACTACTACAGGCAGGATTTGATGGAGAGTGTCAAGAACTGTCCATGCTTGTATGCGTCAGCGCTAGGGCCACAGGAGTGACAGATAAGGCCCTTTCCAAGAGGCTTATTTTGGAATAGTCAGGAGGATTTCACCCCACCACAAAGGATCAGTGCAACATAGCTCCCCTCTGCATATGACTGAATTTCATGCACAGAGAACAAAACTTCTCATGTCTGACTCACTACCACAAAGCCACAGAATGCTTTCAAAACCTCTCTTGTGATAATATGCTTTCACCACAAATAAGTAGGAAAGGAGAGATGTCACATTTTTACCCTGTCTACGTGTTTTCTGTGCCACTTTTTATTAATTATGAGCCT